ATGCAACCGGATAGCCCCACTCGGACAGGGAGCCCGCCGCAAGCGGCCATTAGCGGCTACTCCCTGACCTTCTCCGCGACCGATGGCTCAACCCGGGTACAATACACCTCGGGTCCTCAAAAGTTTTGGATGCAGGGACTTCTTACAAGAGATCTTTTTTTTTTTCTCTTCGTAATCCTTGGGAATTCCTTTCATTTTTTTCGAAGATATACAACACAATCCATTTTTATTGACATGGCACTTTGGCAACAGCTGCAGCTGTAACAAAGCGTTTTAAAGAACATTTTACATCAAATAACAACACACGGGCAAATATCCAATCTTAACAAAAACCAAAATATTCATGAGCTGTTTAATTAAAAGAGAGGAATTGTTTTCATGACACTTCTTGTCCCTTGAAAACATTTCACCTTTCATGCAAAAGGGCTCTTCTGTTCCAAATTGTAGCTGCGCAGTCTGCATATTTATGACTGTGGTGGGTGTGTCCTCCGGCGATGGTGACAAGAGGCTTGTTGTTGTCGTTGACTCGCGGTGAATGTTCACTTTGCATGCCACTGCCCCGGAGGCAAAAAAAAGATCAGTGGTGGCCACTCTTCCGATGGAAAGACATCATCATCTTTGGCTTCGAGGTGTCATGTTCAACTCACGACAAGGCTGTGAAAAAAAATCTGTGGGTCTGCTCTTGTTTTTTTTTTTTTTTTTTTAATCGTGCCACTCGCTGTCCTGGTTTGTCGCACGTGACTTTGTAGGAGGTCATGCTGAGTCCAACCGCCTCCTCGTACAACATGGCCCAGCTCGCCAGGTCCACGGAGTACACGGTCCAACTGCAAGCCATCTCCACGGCTGAGCGGAGTCGCCACGCCACCGCCGTCTTCAGTACAGGCAAGGACCACGACTTCACCACCGCAGTTCCAAAGTGCCGCCAGAGCCGCAATCTGCGGGGGAAGTGCGTTGCACCGCTCCCAAAGTCTCCGACCATTTTGATTTAGTTCCGTTTGCTTTTGTTTTTTTTGCTTGTTCTCAGTGGGCCAGTTGCACAGGTACCCCAAAGACTGCGCTCAGATCTTCCTGAATGGGGAGCGCGCAACAGGCGTGTATAGCATCTACGTGGCCGGCGTTCCAAGCCAGGTCATCCAGGTCTACTGCGACATGGAGACGGACGGCGGAGGGTGGACGGTGAGCATCTGCTACAATTTGATCAGCAATTTACTCCCCGCAAATTGACGGAGATTTCAGGATGAACCACGCGTGCGCTCATTGCTCATCATTATTCTTCGTTTTGTTTTTTTAACCTTTATTCTGAAATGCATGACAGAGTCTGTTTTTTTTCACTTTTACTCAAGTGAAGGAGTTTGGGTGACGGAAGGTGTGTCCTCTGCAGGTCTTCTTGAGACGGCAAAACGGGAGGCTGGAGTTCTTCAGGAACTGGAAGAACTACACCGCTGGCTTTGGTAACATCAACGATGAGTTCTGGCTAGGTGCGTTTCTCCGCCCTTGGACCGATTGAGCGTTTTGCACCTTCCCGTGCCGACGCTCGATCAAATTGACCCTTCCAGGTCTCGGCAACCTCCACAAGATCACGACTGCAGGCCAGTACGTGCTGCGCGTCGACCTGAGGGATGCCGGAGAGTCGGCCTTCGCTCAGTACGACAAGTTCTCCATCGCAGAGCCAAGAACGCGCTATAAGCTTTACATCGGCGCCTACAGTGGCACAGCAGGTAGGTCAGCTCATGAAAGTTCGCAAACGAAAGCGGGTCAAAGGAAACGGGCTAAACAAACAAAAACAAAAAAAAAGACAAAAAAAAAAAAACAAGCAAACGGAAGCAACCGAATGAAACCTACGAAAGAAAAATGGCAAATGAAAGCAACCGGTCCGAAGTGAGCAAGACCAAGCGAAAGCTACCGAACGAAAGCCAGCAGACCAACGCGAGCAAACCAAATGTAGTAAATAGTGCCGTTTGGAAACAAAAGTGACCAGACCAAAGTTAACCAAATGGAAAAAGCCAATGAATGAAGGGCAGCGGTGCCTAGCGAACAGAAACACCTTGACTAAAGTGAGCTCAAGAAAACGGCCCGACAAAATTTAGGAAAATAAACCAAACAAGCTGCCGAATGAAACCAAAAAAAACTGATCACGGCTCAGTTTTCGTTTTTTTTCGTTGTTGTTTTTGACAGTTGGTGGCTTCTTTGTATGCCCTTCGCCGGATGCTTTTTGTGTACTCTTTGTTGTCGCGCGCCGACGCCTTTCTTGACACTTTACGAGGTGGACACTTTTCATGGGAACAAGGCATTCAAGCAACCTTGTGAAAAAGAGAAGGCGGACAAAGTGATGAAGTTTGAATGTTTTCCTTCCTGCCTGTGTGCCAGGCGACTCCATGACGTACCACCACGGCCGCCCCTTCTCCACTTTCGACAACGACAACGACATCGCCGTCACCAACTGTGCTTTGTCCTACAAGGGAGCCTTCTGGTACAAAAACTGCCATCGTGTCAACCTGATGGGAAAATACGGAGACAAAAGTCATAGCAAGGTACGGAGACTCCAAGAAGACTATTACCCAGCCGACTGTTTTCGTGCCACAATTTGCTGGCCAAAGCCCGTCTGATATAAAAGTAGTGCTTTGGGGCTCATCTTACGGCATCTCGTTGCCCAGGAAGGGCGACGGCCAAAATAAAGAAATCCTCCTATCTGAAAAAAAGTGTCAAATGCAGGTCCAGAAAGTAGAAGCCCTTTTGTATTTTGGACAACGAGGAGTTTCGCACAGGCAAAAGTGGTGCTTTGCCGCTGGGGGGGGTGGTCAGTTGTTTTGCGTCAGGGCTCGTTCCCTGTCCCCTACGTTTGAAGTTTTTTGCCTAAATACATTTCAGGCTGTATTTTTTTTTCTTTTCCTCCAAGGGATTGAGTCAGTACTAGTAAAAGGCTACTTGTACTTTTCAACAGGACAGAGGCCTTTTTCATAGAAAGGTAGCGCCGCCATCTTGTGGCATTTAGCAGCATTCATTCATTCGTTCAATTCTCCCCTCTTTTCGGAGACGTTCATTTTTCATGTATTTTTGCTCACGGTTTGTGGGGATGACTTGACAGATGCTCGTGTGTGCGTGTGTGCGTGTGCGTGTGTGTCACAATGTAAGTTTCATGTAACAAAACGGAGTTAAACCTTGTATAATCCAAACTACAGAATGTTCAACCAAGCATGCATTTTTTTTCCTCAAGAAAATCCACCGCCTTAATACGCAGATGGAATACGAAACGCGGGCTGCCAGAAATTCGCCTAGAGTAGATGTTGCTTTGACTTTAAAGCTTCAAACAAGTGCGACTTGAACACGCGCGGAGAGGCAACGCTTCGGGAGGACACGCAATCTACTCGACTACGGTAACCAAGTATTTCTACTTGCTTGCTTCCCATCACAGGGTGTCAACTGGTTCCACTGGAAGGGCCACGAGACCTCCATCGAGTTTGCCGAGATGAAACTCCGACCGGCCGACTTCGGGAATTCCGAGAGCAGGAGAAAGAGATCCTGAAAACTTCAACATCAAGAAATACATCGATGAGAATGACACAAAAAAAAAAAAAACAACAACACTGACTACAACCCATTGGGCACAACAGCCACAAGATCAGCAGTGCCCCGTGATATGTATGAATATGAACTCTGCACAAGTCGTCATGAAAGTGAGTTTTGTTTTTCTAGAAGGTAGGAACGGGAAGCGCAAACCCCATCCAAAAGTTTTGGATGGGTTTTTTTTCTTTGAAATGTGTATTTCATTTCTGTCGACCGCCAGCAGGTGACAGTGTTTACCAGTTTTTGAAAGAGTTCTTTACTTGGACAGCGACTTTTTCGACTGAAACATCATGATGTCATTTTAAATGTCATTTAGTGTGAACAAAAACATTGTCGACAGAATGTAATGTTTAATTTACAAACAAAAAGTAAGAAATAAAGGACAAAATCGATATTTGAGGCTTTGCTCAACTTTATTTTTGAAAATTCAAAGGAACCTGCACAGTTTGTCGAAACATCACGAGCACCCTGTTAAAACACCTGAATGGACACTTGAATGGACCCTTTCTTTCCCCTTTGTGTGCGTCTTTTGGACCCTTTGTTAACTCTTTGTTGGCACTTCGGTGATAGGTGTGTAAGGCGTTTTTAGCAAGACTTTTTTGGCCCCCCCAAAAACAACCATGTACAGTAAGGCGTTTTTAGCCGAAAAAAAACAGTTTTTAGCCGAAAAAAACGACCATGTATAGTAAGGCATTTTTAGC